CCTTTCGAGAATGCGTGAAGCATTCCGATTGGAATGGATGCAATAAAAATAAGTTAATTACAGTTGCTCAGATTCATCGCAAGCTTTCGATGGAACTATAATCAGCTGCAACTATAAGCGAAGTATGAAAACGTGTGCTGAATACGATAAAGTTTTGCATTGCGGTGAGTCATCTCTCTCGTTCAGTATTTCAATGCAAACAAACAGAATCTATCAATCAAAACGAAATCAAATCGCTCACCCTTCGGTTAATGTAATCAGTGTGCAGTAAACGCTCGGAAGTTCCTCCGGTCTTGTCTGACAATTCTGTAGGCAAACTAAATTGCGCATGGCATTCATGGATGGCAGAAACCCGAAATGACTGAAAATGCTCAACAGTGTTGACTGAAAAGACTGAAAAGCGGGTAGCAGAGGTGTTCAGTTCGAGCAAGTTCCCTTGCAAATGAATAAATTGTTCACAAAAAGTTAACGCCCTCCTTTTCATTTACAGAAATCGCTGAAAGATGCTCTCAAAATGAGTTCGCCTGTTGTTCAATGCCTCAAAAATGCATTTCAATAAGAAGACGATGTGATTCTTACTTGGACTGTAATGATGGAGCTGATGAGAATAATTGCCGTTAGCAAATCTTCAAATTTCATTCATGTCTTAATCGAAAATCATCAATATTCTTATAACTTTGTATCCGATGACAGCAATGACGAATCTCTGTGGCCTACACGTCGTCATGTACAATAGCTGCCGTTTTTGCAAATAATGTTTTATAGAAGTAAAAAAAAACAAACTTTATTCATCAATGAAAGCAATTTTGAGTAAAACGTGTTTTCAAGCTTCCTGTGGTATCGCACAGTTCGCTTGCGTTAAAAGTGGTCGCTGTATCCCGGCAGAGAAACGTTGTGACGGTATTGCAGATGATTGTGCTGATGGCAGCAATCTGGATGAAATCGGCTGTACCAAAAATACAAGTTCGTTTTGCCGATATTCCTAATAATGCCGTCGCAATACCAGATCCTTCAGCGAACAGACTCGTCACAAATTCCAAGCCCAACATTTTCTTCTTTTCTTCAGCCAATAAAATTTCTCACATTAATATTCTAGCAGAGTTGAATGATCAGTTTTGTTCACTGCACAAAATACACAACGACGATGTCTCACTTACTGATTAGTTGAAAGAACAATATCATTCGTATTTATCTAATGTGAATTTCGCTGATTCGATCAGAAAATCGAAGCAACTCTAAAGAGATTGCATTTTCGCTGTGATGGAAGTGAATGTTCAGTGGAAACAATTTCAGCTTGCATTGGTAAATTTATGTGTGATAGTGGATTATCAAAAGCAGTGATGGGCGATTTGAGCTGCATTGATTACTCGAAGAATTGTGATGGTGTTAAGGACTGTCCGAATGGTGAGGACGAAATGAACTGCAGTAAGTAATAGTCCACTTGTTGTTCATTTTACAATCAACTGGTCTTCTCACTGCTCTATGCATTAGTTAGGAGATGACCTGATAGTGCAATGATGTCAGGTGCAAGCCAACAGCATCACAATAACAAATAAATGATAGAAGAGATTTTGGTGAGGAAATTGTGGTATTTGAGCGCACATCAGATAATAAATAAATCAAATTTAAAATAAGCAACTTGTCTAGGAGTTGTATTGTTGGTACTAATTCAAAATGATGTGCTCATTTATAGTTATAAGTGAGTTAAGCAAACTGCTGATGTGAATGATTAATTATAGAACACGATGAAACAATACACGTTCAGTGCGAGAATCACAAAGAGAGCGTTCCATTGCAACAATGGTGTAATGGATATGTGGATTGTTCGGATGGATCTGATGAGAAATTTTGTTATTAATCAGTCACTTGTTATCAATAACTTATTGCTGTATATGTATAAATAAACGTGATGGTTGATTTTGTAAGGTGAAAACGGACCACTTGCAAACATGATCAGCCACTGAATCGTTCAAAAGTCGGGAAAAGTTTGGGATATTTTATTGATGTACAATCATTCAATGCGAATTTTTCGCAAACGTTGCATCACTTTTGAATTCGTTTTTTTTAAATATTTAAATCAACCAAAAGCATGACGAAAATTGTTTACATCCACAAATGGCACTCTCTCGCAGAGCACTCGAAGACAAGTCAGTCTCGCGTAAACGCGAAATCAACATCATTCACTCGTAATCTTGCATCATCTTACTCACTCAAACAGCTCTGTCTGTGAACGCGAAAAGCGAACGATTTCAGCTAATCTCTTATTTGATGCAAACGTCATTTATTTGTGCTTACACAAAAGCGCCTCTTCTCATCCGTAACCTGTGGTAGTCCAGGACAGATCGTGGCGGAAGTATGAGCCTGAGCCACTAAAAGCTTCAAGTGTTCAGTTAGATTGAGCTTCATCAACAGTTCGGTCAAAATGACATTCGTCCCGCAGCAGTTACGAGGCCTTTCGTGTGTTGCCGTCGGTTTGAACACCGCACATCTAAATGTAACGGAGTAATTACTTCAGTGCCATAGTTTTCAAAAGAAACACACAAAACCACGATGTTATTGCATTTTAAGAATGTTTGTTTATAGGATTAAATCCGACTAGTCTGGAGAATAAATTATACAAAAACATTCGCTTCAATTATGACCATCCTCTGAATAATCCTTGTGAGTCATAATGAGATGATTTCAGTAAAGCAATAGTTTATTTGCATGAAAAGTGATGTTCTCATGCGATTATCGATGAGTTGAACTCATTTTGAGAACGGTTCTCACGTTGCAGCAATGAATTCATTTTTGATCCGTGAAACAGCAGTTTCAAATTAACGATCTTCACCCACAGCAACTGCAGTTTGATTGCTCAAAAACCACTGAATGAACTCGATTTATATTGATAAACGCATTTAAACTTTTTCGCTTTGTTCACTGAACTGACATTTGCACACATAATCATTCTCTGCGAAATTTATTCGGTTGAAGAATATTCTTTCTCGTGGCAAAAAAAGTGTAGTCTGATGCGATCATTGTCATTCATTTCACTGAATAAACGGAAGTTGATAGTTTCGACACAAAATTGTTGCTGACACCCAAACAAGCCTTATTAATGACTTGATATTCGTTTGAATGCGTCGAACTCTCTGCAAAATCAGCCGAATATGCAATGCAAATGAAAATCAGTTGAGCAATTAGGCATGACACATTCTATTTATGATATTCTCGAAAACAAGATTAATCAACTCAACCAATATTGGCCCGATCATTTCTGCCAACTTCGATAACCTCAAAAACTTTCATGGCTTACGTGAGCAGCAGTTTTTGAAAATTCTCACAACATAATAAAACACTCTTCCGCCCGACATCATTCTATGAAAACAAAAATTTACAGCTGATTGAAAAATTACATGAAAAATTCAATTGTACGCTGAATATTGATCAATGAATATTCAATAGAATTTGTAGATGCTTCCTATTGCATCATATAAAAATGTTTTGACAGAATTATTAGATGATACGTCATTTAACGTCCTTTATAAACATTCGTTCAATTCCGATATGGGCATTGCATTCTCTATGAAGTTTTAATGCGTTGTTAGAGGGCATCATGCCGTCTGCTCGACCGTCAGATTGCATCATTCTGATTCTGACTTAACGCCCACTTCGAGAGACAGACGTATCTACGCGATGTTTGATGATGAATGCATTGCATCCGTTTGCGATCATTCCGCTAATAATGTCCGACAAAAAAAAAGAATTCAATGCCCACCACTAATGAAATGAGAGTAGTAGGCCTTCTTGTATAGTCAATGCTCACATTCAATCAAATGTTGCTGCTGTTCTCCAGTTAGGACAACCTCCTCCTCTGTCTGCTATCTCTGGCTCTGTTCGCATATATTTCGTGTACAGAGCGATATAATTCGAATATGCATTGCATTCACGATGTACTGATGCTAACTGACGCGTTTTGTCGAACACGTGCAAGCTGCTTGCTACACACAAGCTGCTTGTGTTTGCATCAGTTTATCCTTGCCTACTGATTTGCCTTTTCCAATCATTAAGCCCGTTTTGCTACCATCTTTCCAGTGGCACAAGCGAGATTCTTCTCATTTCGAATTGATGACGCGAAATTGTTGCTCTTTCATAAATCTCCACTGATGAAGTTTCAAATGAATTTGTCTCTCACATGGAAAATTTAGATGTGCAACTCAAATTCCTCATTACTTTGTTTTGTTCTCATAATCCGTTCGTGCCGGCAAGCGTTTTGGCCGTAAATTTATTGTGAATTTTCATATGAATGAGTCCGTTTGAGACTTTGAAATTGACGCTTAACAGCTTCCAGCGAACCAAATTTATTCGTCTGCTTTGGCAATATTACAAACGTAGATCTGTGGTAGCGTTTGGCTGTGCGCCAGTAGTTCGTTTTCAACATTATCACACACACATATACTGAGTAGAGCAGAGTGCATTTCTGGAGGAGTAACTGGGCAGGACGTGTGCAGTCATAAAAGTGGTGGTTAGAGACCGAACTTCGGTCGGTAAGGTCAGACGAGTTTCGATCGGAATTCCGAATTTCGGAGGCTCAAGATGTGAATTCGGTCAGGTTCCGACCAAAGAGTTTTGAAATGCGGTCGAAGTACGGAACTTCAGAGTGTTGGAAAGTCGATTGGTTCAGATTCCGACCGAGCTGAAATTTCGTTCGGATACCATCACCAGTGCACACGTGCTAAAAATCATGCAACTGGCGAACTGAAGAAGCACGTGACCGCGTTTATTACAAAAAAAGTTAAATATGTGACGGTATTAGGGCAATTTGTGATTGATTCCTATATTCAGGCAGTAACAATAAGTGAATTTGAGAAAAAATATGAGCGGAGGGAATTGAATTTTGTATTTACGTAGGACATGCAACTTTGCAAAGATAAGGAGACAGAAATAATTCGTTGGAACACTCATAAATGTAATGCAGTGGTTTTTGCATTCATTATCGCTCGTTCCATTCGACTGGCGAAAATTTATTCTCATTCGAAAAAATGTAACGGGTTGTTTATTACAGACGCACTTACGTAGTTGGAACAGAAATCATATTTTTGAAATTAATTAGAGTGACGTATCTGGTTTTGATCTCTTACCTGAATCAGCGTATTTTCTGGTTATTGTCAAGCAAACAGACTCTTTTCACGGGTTTCCATTACTGGTATTTTTGAAAAACCACCATATTTCTCGAACCCCGCAGTCATACATATCTGTAAACTCCGCATTCATACATATCTGCAACCATCACAAAATGGAGAAGACTGATGGGCATTCTATTTTTCAGAGGAACGGAAAATATATTCGCAAAACTTCATTTTTCATTTGAATTCCTCAGCACCATGCAAGATGAGTAAAGTGGAAGAGTTGTTTGAATTGAATTCAGCGTCATTACGATTTTTCATTCATTTTCTCGAGATTAATTTCGCTATTATATCATTCTTACGACATTTTCGCTAGGCAAGCACTTCTTTCATTGATGAGGAGTGGGGTTGTAAGTGTGGTTTGGACCGGAATGATATGTCGTACAAAGATGTCGGTATTTATTGGAATGCTTCAAGTATAAACCTGTGCTCGTGAGCTTCATTAAACTATGGTTTAATGAGCCGAAACACGCAAATCTAAATTTAACGAAATTTAGATTCAATAATTAATATCCATTNAACCTGTGCTTGTGAGCTTCATTAAACTATGGTTTAATGAGCCGAAACACGCAAATCTAAATTTAACGAA